CATTAGAGATGGATGCTGACTGCCCACTGAAGATGGATCTCTGCAGGTAGCTGATGACTGAACTAGTTGCAGTATTGTAGACTCTTCTGAACCTTCAACCAGGTTTAAATTAATCACTGTTTTTCAGATACATTTATTTCATTTTGTCAGGTCGAATGCAATGTTCAGATTTTCTTTTTTATTCTCTGAAGACACAACAAACAACTCTTAGGTTTTATTTTTGTTGTTTATCAGAACCAGTGTTGCTTCTAAATTGTGTCATTTCTTTATACACACTGTGTCCTCTACTGCCCCTGCTGGCTATGTTTCTCTTGACTCAATACAAATAACTTGCCACTTCATGTTTTGGTCACATTTTCTGTTTATATGTCAGCTTCGTTTTGCTTCGGTAAGTAAGCTTGGAATGGTTCTCCTCTATTCTCTCTTTTTCCATGTCTTTATTTCTCTTCCTCAAATTAAATAGTCTTTATTGTTTCTCTGTGTGTGTGAGAATTATATTAATGGTGTCTTTGGGAGCAATTTCACAAAATTAACAACTGAGGTGTTCCACAGCCATGAGAATACATCGTTGATTCTGCTTTTCAGCTCTTTCCTTCCACCACACTTCTTCTTATGCAGTCTCTTCTTGTCCTCTCCTCCACGTTGCTTTTGGTCCATTTTATTACATCTCAGCATTTTATTTTTTTTTTTGCTCCTTTTATTGCTGCACTTTGCTTTTGGTGGAGACCATTTGTTGTACTGGTCTGTGTTTCGACTTTGTCAAAGTTGCATCTAACAAGCCACATCTGTTCTCCTGAAGTTATCACTATAAAGTCCCCGCCTGTTTAAAAATTTCGCCAGCACACAGTCACCCCTCCGCACCTCACGCCTTCCTCTCACGGATGACAGTTCCTATTATCTCCTGGATAATAAGTTGCACAGATTAGCCATGGGGCCAGACGGGGGAGCAGCGATAGGGCTCTGAGTTTGTGTGTTTGTGTGTGCATATTTGCTGCAGTTTGGGTGTTTCTGCCTGGATTTGATGACTACTTTGTAACTGTGTGTGCAGCTTTTCATGTTTGCCTGTCTGTGTTTGCCTGCGTTAATGGATTTCTCCCCAGCTGCATGTGCACGTGTCTGTCTGTCTGTCTGTCTCGCCACATGCCAGCGCATGTGTTTGTGTCTAAATGACAGGAAGAGACTGTGTGCCTGCAGTGGGACTCACAAGAGGAGGAGTTGATGGGCTAAGTGCCATTAAGGGATAATTACAGCTAAAAAGTCTCTATGCTAACGAGGAATCTCATCATGACAATGCTGGCAGACCGAGAGGGCACAAAGAAGCATCTGCAATTCAGACCAAGAGCTCTTGTGTGTTCACTGCATGTGGTTATTGTTTATAATATGTCAATGCATTACCTTTCCTCTTTACTTGCATGTTGCACCAACGGTTGTGTTTAGTGTGTGCACATGGGAATCACAACCACTCGTATTCATATTTTAAAAAGTAAGCATTCTTTTCAGATGGCATTTGCCATGATGCAGCCACACAAGTACACACAATACATCAGTTTAATTGTCCGGTGAAGGCTCAGTGTGAGTTGAGTTTAAGGGCATGCACTTCTGCACACAGGGATGCCTCTAATGGGTTTATCTCTAATCTAAGTCAACATGAAAGTCTGTGAAAAATGTTACCCTTTTGTCTTGCAGGTGTTCTATCCACATATTTGGGTGAAATTAATTAAATTTAAATACCTGCCGGGACCACCGGTGAGGTTGCTTGGAGCGGGATATTCCACAAATCTGATTTGCAATCTGTGTGTTGAGCCTCATTTCGTACTCCCTTGGCATGCAAACAGGAGCTGATGAGGATGGAGAATCATCTTTACTCATTATCGTCTCTTTTACCATGTTGTCCGTGGGAATACTAAATGTTTGCTTGTGTGTGTTTGGTTTGAAAAGATTGTGTTTCTGTTTGCTTACGTGGATTTCCACTGCCAAAATTTGCAAAACCAACACTCCCTGTTAATTTCAGCTGAGTGCAGATCTGCTTTGGAAAACAAATCTTTCTTGATAAAACAATTTCTAGTATGGCATTATTAATCAAATCTATCCAAGCGTGACTGGTTATAGTAAAACTTTATGAGACAGTAAGCATTTGATAGTCGTCACCAACTCGGATGGCACAGCAAGTAATTAACCTCACAGTTTCTCACATGAGGCTAAGTGCTTGTCTGGGTAGTTTTTTTCTTCCCCCTTATATCAATCAAACTGATCCCTTCCAGCAAGATTTTTAATTTGTTGTTCACTAACCCACTCCAAAACATTCTTTAGGCTTCTTTGAGTCATTCAGATGTTAACTTTCTGGTGTGTTTTTAATCAGTTTGAAAGTTGGGCAAATTCCTTCTTCCAGAAAGCACACACTCTCCCCCCTCTTTGCAAAAGAAATCTAGACATTCTGGTGCTGTTGCGTAAGTAGATGAAATAAATAAATTTAATCAAATGGGACAAGTGCTTAGCAAGCATCAACAAAACAATGCTGGACTAAAAACACCCCAAAACACCTAATCCTGCTACATCAGCACAAATATTAATTTGTAAGAGGAGTTTAGTATTTAGAGAGAACAGATGGCACAACTTAAAGTCAACATGTATCTTTGAAGCTCTGTGTGAAGTCATATCTTTGGAGTTGCCATCTTTTCTTGTAGCTTACACTTGCCCAGTTTTCACAGAGTCTGCACAACGATTATATCCACTTTTCATGCAACCAACAAGCAGCAAAAAATCTAAGTTAATAGTGATGATTAAGTTCTCAACAGTTATGTGGTGTTTGTCTCTCGGTTTGGAGTTAACAAGACCTTCTCTGATTAATGTTGATATGCTGTGGCTTGTTCCAGTAGAGAGTATTATCATGTTCTCTATACGACACTTCTCCTTTATGGAAGGCTTAATCACAGACTCAATTCTAAAATGCTATTTTTAATTAATTTATTATGCGAACCATAATATTATGCGAACCATATTAACCATATTTATTATGCGAATAGTTAGAGCTAATTGTTTTTGATTCATTTTTAATTGGATCGTTTTACATCTTTTTTATGTCTTCAGTTTCTCCTCTAAAAAAAAGGCTCTCCTGGATTTACACTGGGAATCATAAGTTAACAAGTCTTCAGCTTCTCCTAAAAAGCCAAAGTAATTAAAATTACTGTCATGGTAGTAAATGTATGATATGAATCTTATCTTACAAAAATGCCTGATTAGTTGATTAAGGAGTAATGCTTGCTCAGTAAGAAATGTGGCTCACAGGTCTTTATTTTGGGGGTTGGATGTTAAAAAGTTTTCTTATCACTACTGTTGTTTCCTGCCTGATCTTAATCTTTGAAATAAGTTTTAACAGCTGACAGATGATGTTAACAATTCTCATTTTCAGGACTCCTATTGTTCCTCTGTTTGTAACCCACAGTAATACACCCCCACCTGCTGGTCACATACTTTCATTACACCAAAGTCCTTACAAAAATCTTTTGGAAATATTCAGAAAAATTTGGCCAAACCTCCCTTTTAGAACTTCTATGGATGATTTAAAACAGACTTTGTACTTAAGGGCAAGATTATTAATTGGCTTAATTAAGTGAAATAATATAATAAGTGTAATTCAGTGTTTAGTCTGAACATATGGGGGATTTGCAAGCCTGTTTCCCATTTTCAATAATTCTATTTCTAGCATCATATGACATAATATAACCATTATTATTATTTTCTACATTTAAGGCAGTGTTAAACGACAGGGAAAGATAATGATTAAAAATGTTACTGGTTTGGCCAGAGTCATAAATGACATTTTATTTTTAGTATTTGCAAATAAATAAGATCACCTGTGAGAGGGAGAGTGCATAATTTAAAATAATGATTTTTCCTTTAGTCAGCAGCTCATGAAAATTAACTTCATCCCTCATTTCTTTAATTAAAATGAAAATCAATATTTTTGATAAATTACTGTTGTGAAAAGAAATTCATGCTTTGAAGAGCCACCCCGTTTTCTTTTGGGGCCTTAAGCAGAATTTCATCAGGAAACCAACCTCAACTTAAGCCTGGTAGCAGTTACAGATCCACTGGTTGTCATTTAATGAACTTCCTCAGAAATCATTTTCAGTTTTGCATTTAACAGAGTTTTTTAAAGTAATAAGACAATAATGAAATTGTTATATTACAGATTGTATTTTGCATGAGAAATCACGTAACAGTGGCAGCACATTGTCAACCTGCCTATCTGCAAGAAACTCTTAAAGACAAAGAATCTCCAATCCTAGCATCAACAGTTTGTTCTGTGGATGTGTCCCTACTTGTCCAAAAAACATATTAGAGAATAAACAGAAACTTATTTAGTCATTTTCCAACAGCAGTCACATCACAGGTGACCAGGCGTCACTTATCTGGATAATATGAGAGAAGAAGTCAAGTTTAATAGTATTCACCAATATATTTGTGACAAGTTACCATGAAAATCCTGTAGGAGAATGTCCAGCCATCAGTTTGAACCTCAAATTCAAATACACTTAGAGCACACCAGCAAGTAAACTGTGGAAACTATCAAAAGTAAAGAAATTAAGGTTTTGTCCCAAGAAGGGCGCCTGAGCACAGGAGAAAGATGAAGATACCAATGAATGATGATTCCTTGTTACAGTCACTGTTTGGAAAAAGCCTTTACAGTACTTTGGTTTTATGGTTCTCTGTTTTTTCTCTCTTTCTGCAGATGTAAATGAAAACTTATTTGGTGTTTTCTTGTACTCTAATTGTCCTTTCCCTCCTCTATTCTTATATTCCTTCTTCTCCATTTATTTTGAATAAAATGTATATTTATATCAAGTGAAAGCTACGCTGTCGGACAGTACATGCAAAAAGAAAAAAAGAAGAGAAAAACCATTTGATCATTTTTAAAATATTTATTTAGAAGTAGTTCTCTGGTCTGTTAGATATAAGCTTGTTTCACATAGAATATTACAGAAAAGTAAATATTTTTATTTTATTTTAATCTGTATTATTTATGGGCTCTCAGATTGATATTCAAACTAGGGAGACATTGCCCTGCAGGACATTCCTTTTTGCTGTTTTCCTACACATTTCCAAATTAGCGTGATGGGCGCACGATAATCCACAACTTTATCAAGTCACACATTATCACAAACAGCCAACCAGTAAAAGTGAAATAATGACAGTCGGGTTCCCTTCGAGCACTATTACTTGAATATTTTTCTCCATGCATACATAATTTTGTCATATATTTATATATATATATGGTAAAAATATAGCATTTAGAATAAATACCTCATATAATTATAAGACTGTCAGACAATACTTGTTATATATTTTTCACAATACTTTATATACATGTATTTGGCTGGATTTACAGAAGAAAACACACAAATTTAACCCCATGTGGAACAAAGTTGATTTCAGGTCTTTGTTGATCAACCAGACGTGAAATCATACCACATCTGGGTCACATACGGGATTAAACATAAATTTCCATAAAGATGTGTAGGCACGGAAGACCAGACACTTCTCTCAGCACGGGTTTGACGTCCCGCAGCTATGCAAAAGGAACATATTCATACATTTCTGTTCTAATCTGTAACTGTAGCACAGGGAATAATTAATGCTACATAGAAATATGTGCTATTATTTAGTCCATTTGTAAAAAGTTATGTTTCATGTAAATTCTGACTTTATATATATATATATTCATACAAATGATTTTTTTTTTTTCAAATATCAGTTATAGTCCCAATTCTGTGCCTATTTTTGATTTAGTTTACAGTATTTGGGATCGATGGTGTGACCGCAATAAAAAGAAAATTAGAACAGATCTCAAGAAAGCAATTAAATGTATTATTAAGGAGTACTAATGAAACTGAAATCAAGTTTTAGAGACAAGTAAGGCCTAAACATTGTTAAAGTAACAGTTATGTTAATCTTGTGCTAGAAATCCTCCAGTTTGATTAATTGCCTGAAGTTTTCCCTCAACACAGAAATTGATTTTGTCATGCAGATTGGATTGCTACTTATATATTTGTTACCTTACATGACAACATTCGACTTGTAGCTCCAATGACTCTTGCAAACAGATGTTCCCCAACATAAATCAGATTTAACAAGGCCTCATTAACAGCCCTCCACATTTAATGGCACCTCTGGCAAAGACATGTTTAAAGCCTTAAAAAAAAAAAAAAATCAGTCTTTAATTGAAGTAACATGATCTGACACTAAACATGTTAAATAATATCACCCCTTTCTATTTGTCTGTACTTTTATTCAGCGAGGGGGAAATTTTGCTTCAGGGAATAATTGTTTTCAACAAAATGGTTGTGAGACACCAGCTCTCCCTCAACAGACAAAACAAAACAACTTCTTAATATAAGATTTTCTCGCAACTAAATCAATGTAAGATTATGCCACTGCAATTAGTATTTAATTTATTGTAAGGCTTTTCATACAGTTTTACCAGAATTCCGTAACTGACATGACTTGTATTTATTAATCCCACTAAAGGGTAAACTGAGGTAAAATAATTAAATGCATTATTTAAACATTTGCTGAATTATTATTTTCATCTTATCCCCTTTGATCATGTAAACATTGTTAGATGTTTGGCATCTGCTGTGGTCACTGTGGAAGGAATGTTTCATTGTAAACATTTCATAAGACCACACTCCTGCAAGGAGCTGCATTAGAAAAGGCTCCACAAAAGAACATCTGTTTCCCTGGAAAATAAAACCTCAGCTCTAGAATAAGAACGGTTATCCATTTAAGGCTGCACCATAGTCCCATACATAATATTTTTTATTGCTTCTTATTGCAAACAAAACTCCCTGCTGAGGATTTTAATATGTCTGGTCTGATGGGTACGAGAGCCTAATGAACTAAGCTCTACAATCTAAAGACCGCTTCATCACCAGGACTAATTTAAAGTCTTTAGACATATATTTGTAATAAAGTTAACATCGCGACTGATTCGAAGTCTTGCAACTTGTCATCCATGCAGGGTTAGTTAAAACTTGCTACATTTTTATTCTTTTGGAATGTGTCACAGCCAGCCCAACATTCATTGTGCATTCTGTACGTGTTGCATACATGGTTAGAACAATCACACAAACATCCCTCTATATGTATGTATAGATAGATAGATATTTATGTAGACATATATATCTATCTATGTAAATAGAGAGATATATTGATATATATCACAATACTGGTTACACCCCTTGTATTTTTGTTAGCATTCTATTTTACCTCTTGATGGGACGACACAGAAGGTATAACACTTTGATATAATGTAAAGTAGTCAGTGTACCACATGTATAACTTTGTGTTTTCTGTCCCCTCAAAATACCTCCCCTGTGTAATGACCACATACGTTGAGTGCACATGTTCTGCGTTGTATCCAGAGGTTGACTTTTGAAAACTGACCTATGGGTGCTATCACTGCTGCAGATGGTGCAAACCATATGGTGCACACTGCATCAAATTGGTCTGTGCTCCCAGAAGGTACTCTTTTCTAAAGACGATGCACAAGAAATTCAGCAGCCAGAGAAGCAGACAGTAACCATGTTCCTATGGTCTGACGAGACCAGGATAAACCTGTTGGTTTAGCCTCACCTGGTTGTGGCAGCAACCAGGTGAGGAGTAAAAAGACAAGTGCCTACTGTCAAGTATGGCAGTGGGTGTATCATGGTTTGGGGGTGCACAAGCGTTGCTGGCTGTGGGAAGCTACAGTTTCATGATCCTTTCCCTTTGAAAACTCGGTCACAAGGCAGTATTGCTAAACCAGACCTAAACCCTACTAAGTTAAGAGAGTTAAGACAGTACAGAAAAATGACGGTGGCCACATAAAATGTTGGCACTTTGGTCATAATTTGAACATTTTCACCTGGGGATGCACTCACTTTTGTAGCCAGCAGTGAAGCTCTTAGTGGTCTTGTATAGTTATTTTTAGGGGATTGTAAATTTACTGGGATACACAAGCTGTAAAGTGACTACTGAACCCTGCTTCAGTATGTCATCAGTGTTGTCCCATGAAGAGATATAATAAGATATTTAATGTAAAATAGGATTTACTCACTTTTGTGAGATACTATATATTTATATATGTATACAGACAGCTGAGGATCACAAACAGTATTACAACATACTGGTTTGTGACGCTATATTTAAAACAGCCAGTAGGGGGAGTAACTGTATTAGCATGCAGCTCAATACAATCTCTTGACTTGTCTTTTTTCAGCCTCAATATATTGTTATAAAAAATACTGAATTTCATTTTAGACTAAACCATTGGTTTTTCAATAACACAAATGATGATCACCCATGAACCACGTGAAAAACATGACCACTGTGGAGTAATGATTCATTATTTGATGTCAGTTCTTTTTTAACTCCGTGCTATATAGTTTGCTCAGGAGTTGAATATATTCATATTCACTGTACACATACACAGTAAAAAAAAGTGCAGTAGAAAATACAGTCTCTGTTTGTATGATCATGATTTCTTAGAATAACATTCTGTATATAAGATGCTCTCAATAATGGCTTATGTCCAAATATGGAAAAAAAAATGTCAGTGTGATTAAAGAAAATAGAAATGATGTTATATTTATATATATTTGAAAGGTAGATCATGTGCTTAGTATTTTGCTTTAAGAGTTAGTTTATATTAAGATGCAGCAGTTCAGAAGTTCTCTCCCGTATGATCCTTTTTTTTATTCTCACCCTGTTCCCTGCTCAATCTGCTGCTGGCACCAATTGTTGCCACAGCAATATCTTATTTTAACTTTGTTCAACCCTCATTAATCATTTCATCAAAAAAAACAAACAAACAAAAAAAAAACAAGACATTGTGGTTGAGGCATAAAAGAAACACTCTATTCCCAGAGGTCATAAAGGCAGCCCCATGCTTATCTTCATTTAGCATCATATTCAGTATTTACTTTAGTTTTTTTTTTTTTTTTCCATTCTGTTAGTGGGAAGAGAATCGTGGAAGTAGAGGCAGATGTTGACCTAGAATGGTTTGGAAAACAGTGTAGAACTCAGAGGAGGTCTGCAGCAGACATGGGCTCAGATGCATGGGATTTTAGAAGATCGATGATATCTTGATGAGCAGCTGCTTCTGCCACCGACAGGGCTGTTTGACCATTCTGGAGAAAATAAATAGAGATGCGATGTTGATTTCACCTATAACACATTGCAGTGGCCATTCTAATCCTCACAGCGGCAGTGTTGTACTAGCTTACACTTACAGGCTCAGAGAATAATTTATCTGCTCTGATTAGAACGTGAGACCACGCTCATGTAAAGCCGTACAATTCTATCTTTTGCTGAAAGGCTTAATAACAGCTAAGAGTTATATCATAGTCTCAAACATTAATCTATGTAAAGGAATGGCGACTACATGTTAAAAAATTACAACAAAAACAGACTGAATATACTGAATATACTGAAATCACTCTTAGAAATAGAAAAAATTTGAGCAAAAAATATAAAAAGTGGACTAAGAAAAATAATGCTTATTATATATTTTTTTTTACATTTTTTCATGAAGATTACTGCCATAATTTACAAAGTACTCACCAGAAAAATACATAACACAATTTGTTTTCTATCACTATGCATTCAGCTATTTTGGTAAGCAATATAACACTCTCACTTATATAAGCACTTTACTATATTCAATTAAGCACCATTATATATTTCAAAGTCATACAAATGTTTTGACAACATTTCAGAATTATGGTATAATTCTGTAAGTTTCAAAATGGTTGTACTGTTAAGGAAGATACTGAACAAACATCTCTATCTTTTGCCTACTTTCCAAAATAGAGGTAGGTTGGGGGGGTGGGGCTAAAAATGATAACTGCATTCAACAAATACAGAAGAATGTTGCATTTCTTAAGCATCTGCAGTAAAAGTAAAAGTGGTTTTAACTGCTGTGGTGCTATACAAAAATAACTCGGCTGAAATCAAATGTCCACTTGTTCTTGTTTATGTAGAAGCTAACATTAGCACTAAAGCACAGCGACGTGGAACAGAAAACTAGAATAGTAGCATAGGAAAATTCAGATGACGCATTCCTTCAAAAGGTGGAGGGGGAGGAGTGACTAAAAGTTCACACATATTCAGTGATAATGGAGTCACTGAATATGTTGCATTATTATGGACCGGTGCTAACCACATAATCTGCATAATCTAACCGGGGAAAGCTTCCAATCCACTTTGTGGCAGTCAAAAGAAATAGCATCTTCACTCAGTCAAAAAAACAAAAATGCATATAATATTCTAAACAACTTACTGCATACATCGTAATAATTTCTGTTCTGAGACCAAATATCCAATTTTTCACACTTATGTGCAAACTTGCATTAGTTTAGCACAACAATGTAGATTTTTAAGACCTGCTTCAAATTCATGTTCATGATTCTTTTACTTCTTTTTGACATGCAGTCTTTGAGGCAGAGTTCACTACTGCATGATGTTATCAAGGGTACTGCTGACAGTTAATAGGCGCTATGATAAAAGTTGCCCGTGCAGTTACTCAATCTGCCAATTATGATTGCATATTTAAGTGTCTAACATGTAAAACCACACAAATAAGTAATGCTTGCTGCTGATTAGTTTTGTAAATTATGTATGCAAAATCTGCCCATAGTCCCCCGTAAAAAAAGAAAGGAAAAAGTTAGATTTTTGTGTGCATGTTATCAAGCATTCAAATCATGCTCCTCTAGCTTATTATGAGCCTGTGACCTTGCAGTTAATGGCCTCTGTAACCTGCAGCTGAGAGAACAAATCTCTCCGAACGCAGGCACTTGGAAAGCCGTATCTTTACACTTGGAGAGATGTTGTGTACTTGACACCGAGACATCAATCAAAACTAATAGAGCAGTAATTTTCCCCAGATGACACCCCAGACAATGTTCTGCGGTAATATTTGTAACTTCTTACATCTATCAAGCAGCGAGTCATGGCAAGTTTTTCCTCTAATCAAAGGCTAGATATCAGTTAATAAATAAAAAAAATGAAAGCAGTTGAAGCTGCATGCTGAGAGAAAAGTCAACCACAGGGAAAATAGTTGCCTCATATATAGTCTCTATTTCATATTGTGTTGTCTGATGAAAGAGACTGATGTGAATGCAGGTAGTGTAATTCAAAATGGTTAGAACATAACAGCTCCTTTTCTTCAGATCGTGTTTCTTTCAAAATAGTATCTGTATTCACTTGATACTAAACACAGCAAAACATTGACCAGTGGTACAAATGTGGATAGTGGGAGGACTGATAGGTAGGCTTTCATTTGTTTATGGTTTTCTATATTTTACAGTTTATTTTAGTATCACTTTTGTGGCTCCAGCCTACAAAGGTAATTGCAGGATGCTTATGAGAAAAAAAATGCCACAGAAAAAAAAAAAAAAACTCTATTTGAGCCAGCCATGGCAACAGATTTAATAAACTTAGGACCGAACACATAAAAGATCAATGTCGAGTAACAAAATTTTATATGTGTAAATCGAAGAGAAGAAGTCACATGATCACTAATCTATTTAAAAAAATGTAATAATTATTGTTGAAGTGAAACAGTGAATTAATTTAGATTAAAGACTACGTCATGCCTTGTGTATAAGAGTGGACTCATTTTGAGACCAACGCTGAGTCTGTCTCTGCCCTGTGTTTTATACATGAGACATTTCATGTCCCTGAGCTATGTAGCTCCCCATTTCTTTTCTGTATCAACTATGCCATGCCTCACTGCATCCACACTGGCCTTACAGTGGCAGTGCAGGAATATTTGGGTGGTACATAGGCTTTATGGTCTTTCACTTCTGTTCATGTAAAGAACTGCATATGTAAGGTGAGAGAAGTCTTATTGTTACAGTGATCCATTGCTGGATGTTACTTACTTTTACCTTTAAAGACGTTTTTGAAATATAAAACTGCATCCAGTTTCCTAGATTCAGAAATTGATATAAATATGGTCCTCTACATCCAGACTTTATTTATGGCAGCCCGGTAGCCAGGGATTTTACATATCTGACCAAAACCTTAATCTCCTAAATTTACCTTAAAAATGCACAAAAAACACAGCTGGTGGCTGTTATTCTGGTATTTTGTGGTTCAGGAGCAGAACTGTTTTGAATTCACCAGTCTAAACTCTGACATCTTTTTCTACTTACAACTTATTTTAGTTTTACATTGTAAAAGCATACCTTATCTGTGAGTCCGATATCACAGTGACCTGTCTCCAGCAGCAAACAAGCAATGTGCGTGTGTCCATGCTCGGAGGCACACATCAGGGCCGTAGATCCCTCACTGTCCTGTGCATTTACATCTGCGCCGCAGCTCAGAAGCAGCTTCACCATGGCAACGCGACCGTGGCTCACTGCAAGCATGAGCGCGGTCTGGCCAGCCTTGAGAATGAGAGAAAGAGAGAAGTCAGATTAGAAGTTAACAGAAGGAAAATATAGGGATGGGGATGGAGTTTGAGAATCTCAGTGAATGTGACGGAAGGAATAAAGTGAGAAGTACAAGAGAGCAAGTGACAGCCATGTTTCTTTTTTTATGAAAAGAAACATAAAAAATAAATGAGAACAAACAAATGAGAAAAAATGCATAAGATTAGAAATTAGGGGAAAAAAACTATTAATATCAATATTAATCAAGTGTCTACAGACTGTCTTTGCAGGGTCTCTGAAGGGCCGGCACCTAGCAAAAGATGTGATACACCCCGGGACAGACTGCCAGTCCATCACAGGGTAACACACAGACACAGAGGACAAACAACCATACACACTCAATACTCACTCCTAGCAGCAATTTAGCAAGATCACTTAACCCAGTGTTCATGTTTTTTTAGACTGAGAGACAGACTCCAGGCCAGGATTTAAACTAGTGACCTTCTGACTGTAAGGCAACAAATGCATGTAATGTTGGTGAACCCTTTGGCTTTTGAGATTCTTGTGCAGAAAAAAACTGCAGACACGTGTTGTTGTTTTAGGAAATGTAAATTTTCCCTGTAAAATAAAAACAACTTAACCTCACATATTCCTAGAAAGCCACCCTTCATCTTTTCACAGACCACATGTCACTTCAAGCGTATGCTGCACTCTGTGTTACCTGTCTGGAGCGCGCGTTGACATCGCCAAGTTTTAGCAGCTGCTCGGCCACCTCTAGATCATCTGGGCTTTCAGCAGCGGTCAGGGCAGCCAACATCACTGGAGTATATCCCGCCTTATTCACATTATCTGTTTCACAAAGACCTAGAAGAAGACTCTTTATTATAAGCAGTTCTATTTTGAATGTAACTGTTAGTACAGGTGAGTGTGTAAAGCTCAGCTCACCAGTGTCTAGCAGCAGCTTGACCACAGGGAAGTTAGAATGAGACACACTGTAGTGGAGGGCCATATTCCCATTACCGTCAGTCAAGTTAACAACATATGGCAGGAGTGTGGGGGTGGTCAGTCCCACTTGTCTCAGGTATAATCTGACTGTATCTGCCTGGGAGTCTTTCTGGCTCGAGACCCTGAACCATTCCTGATAAAGCACCACCAACACCTGACGCTGTGGAGAGACGTGTATGTTAAAATTAGTCTATACTATGAATTTGCATTACAAAGAAAAAAATATAAAAGAAAATACAGTAGAGTCAGAGAAAGCTTTACCATTTCCTTATCTGGAGATGAGACCTCTTCCATTCGATCCTTTACATACACGCAGGCATCAATGAATCCTTTATCTACTTTCTCCCTATTAAAACACGACACATTGAAGAATACTTTTGACAAATCCAAAGTAGTATCAGTTAGCTTGCAAAACATCTGATTTTCCAGCTGTTTTCTGTTGAACTTATTTCCCTGGTGTTCAATGTGGAAAGGGGATGCAACCTGTTAAAGGTTGCATTGATTGTTGAGTAATTTCAGTTTGAAATGCAATCAGAAGATAACTTCAAAGAACCCTTGAATTTCTCAAAATGTTGTCACACCAATTTAACTTTAGTGCATTTTATATGGATTTTATGTGACTGAGCAATACAAGAAGCACATACTTGTTCTATAAAAGGAAAATGATGAATGGTTTTCAATGCCCTGTATAAATAAAGGTTTTGAGTGTTGCACCAGTAAAAGCTAATTGTAGCTGTTCAGTTAGTTCTTTCACAATGATCAACTTCTAAACTGCATCTGAGGCTAGATTTAGCCTGTATATGAAGAAATGTCTTCATTCTAACAGAAATTAGTTTATTGTATAGACTCAAAGGAATCAGACTACTTCTGAATAAATAACTTATTAAATACTGTCCTCTGATTCCTGGCAGCATAACTAAGTACCAGTTGGTGCAGTGGACCACATACAAGTTAGGTATGCAGCCAATTAAAATTAGAAGAAAATTCTTGTTTCCACTTCAGATTTATCTTGTTTCATGTACTACTAAGCATAAATACCCTGCCTGAGACAATGTGTGGGAACGACTGTTTTTTACATGCTTGTGTTCATACTAAAGTTAGTGGAAGAAAATGTGAATTGAGTATATACTTTCTAAACAATTTTTAAGTCTTTATATTACAGATGACAAGTGTTCTATCTAAATTAGATTTTTGCTTTGAGGTGTTATGCATTGTATGTTTAGAAATGGTATTCCACATACCTTGGTTATTACAAGTACCTATCTGAGCTGTAGTTGTCTCTATCATCACAAACCAGCATGCCCATTCTCCTCTGGTCTGAAGGGAGCAATACTTTTTTTCTATACAATTTTCTTGGATTGAACATTTATTCTCTTTTTTTGAACCATTCCCCATCTACCTTAGAGATGGTTATGTGTGAAATCCCTTGGGATTCACCTTGAGATGTCTGAGTTTTTCTCCCAGACTCTTCGATGAAATCTTGTAGTGAAAGACAATGTACAGATGAATTGAATTTCCTACCATTTAGCACCATCCATCTTTCTTTCCACTCTGACTGGCTAACTTGTCCCTGCTGAGGACAGGTCAGCATTAATCTGTCACCTTTCATGTGTTCAGGGTGATCTGCTTACGTGTAGAACACGTAAGCCATAAAACATGTAATTATGGCCTCCTATGACCAGACCACCTTCCTTTTAAAACTATGTCCTCTTCAAGAAACTGGACTTGTTATTGCCGTTTTTCCCCACAGTAAATATTTAAAAACAGCATCTGTATCATTTTATTTCTAATTCACAATAACACACTACCTTGTGTTGGTCTGTCACAAAATCCACCCAAAAAATGAATTGAAATTTGTGGCTGTACCTTGTCAAAATGTGGACAAGTTTAAGGCATGCAAATACCTTTGAAATTGATTGTATATGCATGACTATGTGGTTCATCTCTTTGATTATACTTGTGGAAAAAAAGCATTTAGTAAAACTTTGCTTAACAGATAGAAAGATCCAGAGCTCTTGTCTGTCTCACCTTTCAGCCTCCTCCACCTGCAGGAGCTCATGGCCACCTTCTAAATCCAAGAGGCCCCTCTCAACCTCTTTCTCTTCACCCACAGCACCTTCCTCCTCCTCAGCCGCAGCAGCAGCAGGAGCAGCAGCAGCAACAGCAACCTCTACATCTGCCCCCAGGATCCCTACCGATTCCTCAGACTCTTTGTCTGTTTCCTTCTCCACCACTACTTCGGATTTATCTTCCTCCTCCACTTCTACTCTTGACTTTTCATCTCCGCTGGAGTCCTCGCTGGATGTTGTCTCGTAGCTAGAAGAGGAAACGTTGACAGTTGAAATGCCTTTTTCATGAAGAAGGATTGATTAAGTTTTACTTCAAAAGTGAGAGATATGTAAATATCGAGAAATTTATGCCAGACTCTAAATTAATAACAAGACGTGTGATGAGTTTAGATAAATATGAAGGCTTCCACGTCAGCCAAGGCTGAGTAATTACTAACCGGTTATCCATCCTCAGATATATGTTTGCCTTTGTAGCCTTGGCCCATCATAAAACATCCCTCATTTTATTACTTATATAATAATTATCCATAGGAATGTTTGTGCACACTCCTATGAGACCTCAGACAAATACATCTTTGTTCTAACAGGTAAGGCTCCTCATTTAAAGTTTGACTGGACGCCAGTGGGTTGTATACGAGTGTGATCAGTGGGGTGCATCATCAAGGCACCGTTGTGTGGCCAGTGATCAGATAAGTCTTACGATGAATACCATTGATTCATGCTTATTTGAACACATACACACACACTGATAAGAGGCGTTCTTGGGATCGCAGCATTCCTCAGATTCCTCAGGAGTTTCAGACAGAGCAAAGATAGAGCAGACGATCTGAAAAGATGCAATACAAACAGCAGCCCACTTCCTGGTGTGAAGAGAAGTCTCAAGACTGTCTGACCTGTTTAACATCTGCTCATATTTATCAGGAAATGAACTGCAATTCTTGGATATACATGAGTTCTAAACAATAGGGATGGACTCATTGGAAGTTCATAAAACATATCTATGATTGTTTATTATGAGCTGTTCTTTCCAATTACCATGAAAATTCATTATTCCCAAGAGCACCTAACTGTTGTCGTATATTTGCAGATTGGTTTGCAACAGCAAAGAAGGAACTGAACTTACACGAAAACAACCTGAACCAACACAACAGAGGTGAGCCGGTCATGAAACAGTGAAGCTCAGGAATGTAAGAACAGGAATGCCCGAATTAAATAAATGTACTCACGGCTGCCATTTCCTTGACATGCAGCACATAATACCTCTCAGGAATTTCAGACAAAAAAAGCCGTAAGAAGTAAGAAGTGCTCTTATCTGGGATTAGATGTCGGTGTGAAGCATATAGAAGGTGCTCAGATTTATTTTCCAATTAAAACTGGATATCTATTTGATATGGATGTAAAAGTAAGAAAGGATAAGAGGAATGTCCAGAATGAAACTTTTTCTCTTTTTTACTTTTGAGTGAATTAAGCACAAATGTAGCATGCAAAGGAACTCTGAGCTGTTCCGAAAATCTTCAGCTACAGTCACAAGCCACTTTATTATGTACAGTTACTCAGTTTATTAACACAAATAGAAACTCAACCAATCACATGACACCAGTCCAATGCATTAGCTATTAAGACATGGTGAAGATAACTTTAGAATAGATAAAAAAGATGATTTCAGTGACTCTGAACATGGCATGTTGTTGGTGTAGGAAAGGCTGGTTTATGTCAGAAACTGCTGATCTGCTTTGATTTTTCTGGCCAAACATCTTCCAGATTTACAGGGAATGGTCCGAAACAAGAAATGCATCTATTGAGCAGCAGGTGTACAGACGAAAATGCCTACTTGGTTTCCGAGGTCAAAGGAGAATGGGAAGCCTTGTTCAAGATGATAGAAATGCAACAGTGGTTCAAAGAAACACTCATCACAACCAGTGTAAGCAGAATACTACCTCTGAATATACAATCTGTTGAACACAGAATCAAATTGCAAATCATTTCAAGCCAGTTTGCTCAAAATGATATGTTTACTGCACTCCATGGTCTCCTTAGACAATCACTAGATCCAACAGAGTCTCTTTGGGATGTTGTGGAACGACGTATTCGCATCGTCCAAAATAGGCCAAAACTGAGGAGTTTGTCTGATGCCTTGTTGGGTCTATACCACAGGGAATTAGTGGACTTGTGAGTTCAATATAGTACTGGCAAAGTATGCTTAATGAAGTGGTCAGCGACTGAATAATTCACACAGGTTCAGACTCTTTCCCAAAGCCTTTACCCAGCAGGATTCACAGTAATTTATCCATCTTATCTCTGGACAAATATTTGAAGGGGATACAGGAAACTCAAAAGGCTCGTTTGGATGCAAAATCAAAGTGACTCTTCTTGAAACACCCATGCCTGGCTGCCCTCCTCACACCAGGTGAGCTATCCCTAAGAGGGAGCTAATCCACCATCCATAGGCTCAGGATGACTATTTGGATAAGAGAACCAATTCATTTACTTAGTACCCATAACTCAGGACCATATCTGAATGTAAATCAGCCTTTTAGCTCAACTTTGACTGCAACTAATCATATCAGAAAGTGTCTCCATTACTGCTCCCTTTATCTACTCCTTCGTAACCCCTTGCAGTCTCTCTGCAGGTAATGCCTTATCAGGCCATGATATGCCACTCCTCATAAGACAGCAGCTCACTATCAAATTGAAATTACCAATCTTTTCTTTCCAACTGAAGATCCTGGGCTTTTTTTTTTTTGTCTCTAGTGGCCTTTATTCATTAGAAGCTTGACAGGAGGGGAGGGGATGCTGTAAATGGCCCAGGACTGGGAATCAAACCTGGGAAAGACTGTAGCCTCAGTATAAGGTTGGATCTTAGTTTAATTAAGCCAATAAGACAACCAAATCTGCCAAAAACATTGTCAAAGGAATGACTCCGAGCTGCCTAGACTGGAAATCTCCTTATTGGGTCTCAGTCCATTTGTACAGTGCCCCACAGACCTACAAATGAAAAATGTAAAAACTACAGCACACAGAAACATATGCATCACAAGCTGGATGCTGATAAAGTGAAAGATTTTTACCCTCCGTTCACCCCAACAAATTTCAGGTTTTTCTTGGCTCCCTTGCTCCCCTGCTTGTCAGCAACACCATTTTTCTTCATAATAGATTTGAGACCTGGTGAAGAAGAGAGAGAGAGATAGAGAGAGAGAGAAAGAGAGAGAGAGACACACACACAGAGAGAGAGAGAGAGGCAAAAACAAGAAGTGAGAAAGCATACAGTATTTCTTTAAACTTAACTCCTGCGTGTCTTCAAACACTGAATGACAGGGGAAATGTAACAAGTAGTATTAAAGTTGAGTAGAAGCAACACAAAAACTTTACGTTTTTTTCTGTGCACAAAGGAATGCTGTTTTTTTTGTTGTTTTTTCAGTGAGCTTCTTTGTTGGTAGTATATTTAAACTTGTGTGTGTGTCTCATTACAACCACAAACGTCAGAGTATTTTACTAGGATTTTAGAGCACAGACTAAAAAAAGAGTTATACATAATTGTGAAGCTTAAGGGAAAAAATGCTAGCGTTGCCATTTTAAACAAATAGTGTGAATTTCTTTTAACACTCCAGCTTAAGTTACCTCTAAATCTAGTACAACCAGCTACTTTAATAAGTGTGTGAAGGCCTCAAAGGAAAACAATAAAGCCTCATAAAAACCAAGAGACCATTAATTAGAGAGGCAGCCAAGAGGCCTCTGGTGTCGCTCGAGGTTTCAACAGATCCACAGCTCAGGATTGAGAGCACGGCAACTATTATTCAAGCTCCCCACAAATCTGCTGTTTATGGAACATTGACTAAAAAAAGACATTCTTGAAAGAAAGCCATAAAAAGTTTGCTACAAGCCTTGTAGGGAACACAGCAACATGTGGAAAAAGATGCTTCGATCAGACAAAAAGTGAGACCAAAACATACATCTTAAATACTCCATTCCTATTGTGATAAATGGTGACTAAACTTAAAAGCAGAGTGACAATGAAGTGGTTCAGATCAGATTAGTATCAAATTCTTGGGTGAAAATGTCCCAGTGACAGTCCAGACCTAAATCCAATTGAGTCTGTGCAACTGATGTTCACAGATGTTATCTGTAAAACCTGAATGAGCTTGAGTGACTTTTGCAAAGAGGGATGTCCAAGATTTTCAATATGTGGATTTAGAAAAACACTTGCTGCTGTAATTTCAGCAAAGACCGTTCTAGGAACAATTGATGAACTCATTGTGACTATAATGTCCACAAGTTTTTTATTTGCAAATAAAAAAAAACATTATTACACACAGTACGTTATGTTGGTGTATCACATAAAATCCTATTAAGATATGTGTTTGCATTGTGCTAAAATAAAAAAAATGGGTGTGAACACTTTTTTAATGCATTGTATTTGTGAAACCAATAGGGTGTAACAGCAAACTGACCAGCTGTATGGAGACCATTTGACAAAGAGAAAAACAGATTCATCAGAGTTGAATGAAGAGAGACACAGGGAAAATTCATTATATAGCAACATATGGTATTACCTGCATGATGACAGATACAAAAAAATACTTTGAATTAAATTGAGCCATTTAATTAAACCACACAACTACATGCCGTACATGTATTTCCCAAGGCAATTTGCACAAGTCAGCAGTATTCACAGCACGCAGCCTTGACATTGTCGGGCCTACTTATGTTTGTAACTGTCGAATAATCGATTCTGCGTTGGCTCTTTTGCTGACTCCTGTTGGCTCTTGGCCTAGTATGGTGGTCTTAGTTGTTCCTGACAGCAGATGTTGTGCAGTGGATCCATAATGTTTTATCCAAATACAAGGATGTGGCTTTCCGCCAAAAACCACTATCTAAAAAGATCCAGGAAGAACGGTGCTTTTAGATCAAGTGTCTCCCCAGAGACAGCAACAGAGAGTGGGAAGCTTAGTGAATATTTAAAATCTGAATGCATCCTCATGTCAACATCCAAAAGATACAAACTTACTTTTAATAAATGCATACATTTTTAGTTTGTTTTTTTTGCTGACATTTGGCTTAGGTAAATTAGATTTTGAATTTGATCAGTCTCATTTGGGAAAATTCCCAAAATCTAATTTTAGCTTCAGATGAATACAAGGGTTGAATTCTCTAGCAATGTCATTAGAGAAGTTCAAGATGTCTAACACAGAGAAACACTGCAAATCCTGGAACAGCACATGCAAATCCAGGCATATGCACTTTGTTTGAACACAGTGCTGTACAGTCCTCCCAACATTGAACTGCATGTTAACAGTGAGAAAACGTGGGTCTGAGCTCCAGCTCCTGGCTCAATCCCCAACATTGGAGACATCAAGGGAAGACAGAGAGGCACCATCTGTTTGATGTATGCGTGAGGGCCTCTGCTTACAAGTCCACTTTACAGTTGATAAGCATGGCTCCACTTTCCTGTGTGAATGAGTGTTTGTATATTATGTCTGGAATAAAAAATGAGTATTTGATGCTAAAACCAGGCTACTTAAGCAGTGCTATACGTACGTTTTTCTTCCTTCCTAGTAACGGCAACCAGTGGTGACTATTTTTAAGAAAAAACAGCATGTACAGTGCATAAATATGAAAATGTGCAAGCACAACAGCTATAAATATGAATTATTGCATGGTGAAGAAAATAAGTGTTCAAGACATAGACTGCCCTGGAAAACGTCATACTTTTTTTTCTTTTACATTTCGTCATATTCCCATTAAAAACTTCAATGTATTTTATTAACATTTTATTTGATAGACCAAGTAATGCATAGTTGTGAACTGTGACTCTTCCCTCCTGACTCAACATAGGCTTTTCAGGCTTTTCTTTAGGAGTTTTTCAACTAACTTTGCACATTTAGAAACCAAAAATTTGGAGAATTTTTTTTTAAATGAATCTGATGTCCAGCCAGATTGTTGTCTCAACTAATGCAAGTTTGGGCTTTTAGAGGGCCAGTCTAACAAATGAATATATTCGCTCTGGCTGGATGATGAGGGTTGTTGCCCTGTAGTTAGATCTTTTGAAGTCTGTGACAGGTTTTAGCTTCATCCATCTTACAATAAAATTGGAGCAGCATTCCTATCCCTGCTGAAGAAAAGCATGTTTCATGTTTCACCATGGGGATGGTGTGTTCAGGACGTTATAAAGTTTGTTTCTACCACATAAAGAATTTCGAATGATAGAAAAGTTTGTTTTTGGTCTCATCTGACCAGAGCACCTTCTTCCACATGTTCACTATGTCTTCTGCAAAGCTTGTAGAAGACTACAAGCAGGGATTCGTATTGTGTTCTTTCAACAATGACTAATAAGAATCTACTGATTCTTCCAGCTGAGCTGTGGATTTATGTCTCTTTTCCAGATTTACCCTAACTTGGCTGTTTTGAATAATTCACATCACTAACATAGCATCAATAGCTTAGAAACATTACATCTCTTGTATTTTTTCATACAGATGGTTTTCTTTGCTTATGTTTGGCTGTTTAATCCATCATATTGCAATAAACAATCACAAATCAGTACAATAAAAACAAAATCATGCAAATAAGCTGCCTTTTTCAGAGTGAAAAATGTAAAGTTCAACACAGCCTATAAAATGTCATACAAGAATAATAACTGCTATCCAAACTTAGCAATTAATATCTAATGAATATGATGCGCCAAAGTCATTCTGTTGATAATTGATTCAGACCTGATTTGACAACCTCTCTTCTCAGTGGAGTGTTTCTAATTGCGTGAATAGACAGATGGGGTTACTTGCGTGTCATAAAAGCTCAGACCTGTAGTCAGCTTGATAATTAGAGTTCTAACGTCAGCTGGCAAATCTGTTTGTCATGCAGGGTAAGGCGTTCTACCCGTACCACAGATTGGCACAGCAGATATCTAAAAAGAATTCAAAGCATTCTGACAAAGTTCAGCTGCTCATTCAGCCTTCAACGAAATGAAACGAAACTCTGTGTACATATTAATATTTAGACCCCGCCTTGATGGGAGATCATAAGGGATGTGTTGCAATTAAGCAGCATGACTAATGTAACTACAGGCCTTTGTGAATGGTTGATATGTGGAATATTGGAGAGGAAATTACTCAGCTCATTGTCAGACAGACGCTTTGTACTTTCTGATACACTTCATGCCTACCTTGCTCTTGCTGCTTGCTGGTGGCAGCTGCTTTCTGGCCTGGGGAGTAGAAGGCTGAAAGGACACTGAGGGAGCTGACCAGTTGGCTTTGAATTGAACTCATTTTGGAAGCACTGGACTTCCCCGCTGCTTTCCCAGTTGTTGCAGCAGGGGCACCTTTGCCTGAGGGCTTGGCTGGGGTTCCCTTTCCTGCTTCTGCTCTTTTGGTTGCAGTCTGCTTTGGTGCTATGGGGCTCTCCTGTTGGCCGACCGTCTGTTGGGCTCCAGAGCTGCTCCCGAGCTGTGCCCACTGCTCCCCAAGAAGGCCTGTTATTCGAGTTACGACTTGTCCCAAAGCTGCAGGAGATGTTGGCGATTCACCTGAACCTCTGCGGGCTGTCTGAGACTCGCCAGATTCCCGTCGCAAGGCTTTTGCCTCACTTGAACCACGACGGTGAGCTGCTTCGCTTGAGCCTCTCCGAAGTGATTGTGTCTCTCTAGCATCTTTTTGAGATGATGGAGCCTCAGTGGAGCTTCTTCGCAAGCTCTGGGAGTGAGATTGGGTATCACCTGACCCGTGGCGGATTTGACGAGTCTTTGTTTCTCCTGTCTCACGACTTGGAGGGTGTGATACACTGGATCCCCTCTGTGGCGCTTTCTGCTCTTTTGAGTCCCGACGAGATGCATGTTGAGACTTAGTGTGTGGCTGAATGGGCTTGGTCTTTACTTGGATCTCACTAGAGCTAGAAGAAACGCTTTGAGATTCACCCTGAGGTTGTACATTAGACTCCTTCTTGATCAACTCATCAGGCAGCTTCTCTGCTTGACTACTGTCTTGAACTTGAGGCACAGATGGCATTTGATCATTTTCCTGTGGTTCAGAGGGTTGTGCTGATAACTCAGCCTCTTGACGTGGTGCAGTCTGGACTTTTGTTGTGATTTTCTCAGATTCAGGTTCACTGGATTCCCTAGTAGTGAGCATGGGTGCAAGCTGAGGTTGAGGAGGTGTTGGCTGCATTTGCTCTGCTGAGGGCTTGCGTCCTCTCTGTGGTCTAACAGGAGCTACTGCCTTCCCAGCTGAATTTTCAGCTATTACTATAACAGTATCAGGGACGACATTTTCCTTAACTGATTCGCATACAATTTCTTTATCTTTGTTTTCTGCTGTCTCCATTTCAATCTTTTTAGGTTCTATAATCTCTACACCAGTTGAGAGTTGGAGCTCTTTAGGTTTTGAGTCATCCTGTGCAGAGGTCGCTTCCCTCTTATCAGTTCCAGAGGCTGGACTAGGACAGACTTTAGTCTTATTTCCAACTTCTGAATCTAAAGTCTGCACAACAAGATCTGTAACATATATCTTTGCAGCAACCTCTACAGCAACATTTTCACTTTCTATTTGAACTACTTTTTTTGTTTTTTCACTTTCAGTAGTTTCACTTTCCCCCACTCGGCCCTCTGCTTGTGCGTCTCCAGACAGGTTGTTGTCCTGCCGTCTTTCTATCTCCGTTTCTGTTTGCTGGTCGCTCCTCTGTGCTACCTCAGTCTCTGTGACTCTGTCCACAGTGTCCACCCTTTCAGTCTCTGTTCCCTGATCTATGCTACTGGCCCTTGGTCTCTGTGGATGGTCTGTCACTGTTTCTCCCTCTGTCTCTGTGACTTGGTTTACTCTTTCGGCTGCAGGCGTCTCGGTCGTCTGATCTTGCGTGACGATGCTCTCTGTTATTGTACCCCGTTCCATACTGTTGGCTCTGGGTCGGGGTTGTATTGCCTCTATCACCTCTGTCTCCATTTCTGTTTGTTGGTCATGTGTGTCAAGCTTACTAGTCGCTATTCCTCGATCAATAATTCTAGCCCTCGGTTTGGGTACCATCACTTCTACCAAGATCTTATCCGTATCTGTTCCCTGATCTATTTTAGCAGGAGATTCTGTCTCAGTTTCTTGGTGGCTGAGATCTATTCTCTCTGTAACTGTTCCTGCATCTATGCTTTCTCTTCTTGGCCTCTCAGGAACTTGTGTGGTACAAATTTCTACTCTCATCCCTTCACTCAGTTGCAGTATTCTGTCCTCTTTTACTTTATTCTCTTCCATTTGTTCCTTCAAAAGAGCATTAGTTCTCTCTAGCTCCTGGCTAGCCTGAGTAAGTTTTGCTTCCAGCACCATTAGCTTCTCTTCCAGCTTTAGCATTCCATTTTGGTCCTCTTTTGAGGCATTACTCTCTCTGATAATCTCACTTTCTTTTGCAACAACTTCAGTGTCCTGTGATAGCCTTTCCTCTGCATTATCTTGCAGGCTTTTAGATGTCTCTCTTTGCTTGTCAGCTGTCTCTGATGGTACACTTTGCTTTTGATTTGTAGAAGGATCTCTCTGTATTGGTAGCTCTTTTGTTCTTTTTGTCTCCCTGTGGCTCTCTTCTACATTTACTGGCACATGCTCAGAAGCTACACCTCGAACCGGTTGAATTGCTAAAGATAAATTGAGGCCTTCTGAAGGTCTTGGTCTTTGGCGTTGACTGTTTCCCCCTGTCTCATAAGTTGTTGCCATTGCAGAGGATGATGTGGAAGCTTGAACTTGGGACTGTGTTTGTATCTGACGAAGCAGCTTCTCCCGCTCCTCCCTTAAGGAGCAGATCTGAGCCTTTAGTTCTGGGATAGTTTTGACCTGTTCTTCCAGCTCCCTGACTCTTTTTAGTGCCACTGTTATCTGCTGGTGAAGACCTGCCCGATCCTGTGGAAGGCACCGTCTTTCCAGTATGTCTGGAGAGGCACGAAACATGTTCTCTGTTGATCCATTTTCTGGCGTTCCTGTCGTGCAGTCAGGGCTGCTTGAATCTGAACCTTTCCTCTGCTGGAGGGTGATGGGCATTGATGATGCTCTAAGGAGGTTTGGTCGACTTTGAATCACAGCAGTTTTATCCTCAGTACCTTGATAGACAGTGCCTGGTTCATCTCTAGATTTGTTTGAAACATTTGGAGTTCCTTGACTGGTTGTCGCTCTGCTGCTATGACTAGATACTGCCCCTTCACTTGGCCTAAAGTCAAATATTTGTTGGACCTCTGTCACTCGGGATTTGGGCTTTGGGCCCAAGGTAGATGTCCCAGACCATGCCCCTTCCTTAGATGGAGGTCTGACTCCATGTCCAGGGAGGCTAAAATTTCTGGGAAGAGTGCTGAATTTAGCTGGGCCTTTCACCCTCCTCTGGATGTGGACCCTCTTAATGGTGTTGCCTTTTTCAATATCGTCCACATACTTGAGGAAGTCAAGATCCAGATGGAAGCCATAGGGAGTCTCCACTGAATAGGGCAGCTGTTTCCTCTGTACACCGCCCTCGTTGACCTTGGTCTGAAAGCCGTTGGCTGTAAGGAGTTAACAAGGATAATAATTATTTTAATTTGTAAAAAAAAAAAAACTGATAAATATTTCAAATGAATGTGCAATTAGTAAACAAACTAAACATAAAACAAATGTAAGATTATTATAAGCATTATGATTCTTTTTCACCCTCTTGCAAAGTCAAGCAGTACTGTGTTGTACATGTGGCTCTGTAAAGCCAATATCACTTACAGAGAAGTAATTAGCATGCAGTGATTGTGCCAAAACAAACAAGCCAGCATGTAAAATACTGTTCATGTTGTGCCATCTTCTAAATTCAGCATGAGACAGGAGGCGTTTATCACCTCAAGAAAATAAGCCCTTAGCAGTTCTCAAGTCAAATACACAATAATCAGGCAAATTGTTTTACCTTTTATTTCTTATGTTGACTGTACAATGAGCAAAAATAGAATCCTACCAGACAAATTACTGGTGTTACAGTTGGGGAAATAGGATTTGAACTGTAAGACGTGTTAGAAGCAGGGACATTGTTTGCTTAACTAAAGGCTTTGTGGCACTCACCACTTTTCTTGTCCATCATGAGATGCAGAGTTCTCAGTCATCTACTTGTGTTTGGAACAATTTGAGCTGGCAGCCTGGATAAGACAGAACAAATGTCATGTGAGAAATTGAGCAAATGGTCAGAATCATTACATGAATAAAGCAAAGTATTTTTGATGGTTTATATCCATATTTTTACTGAAATGATAGAAATAACAGCTCTGTAAAATGAAATGCTTGAAATAGAAGATTTTCCAAAAGATGCCGACAACTTTTACAGATTTGCTACAGTAACAATAAAAGGGCAAAATTACTATTTTTTTTTCTCAAAACAATGTTTCACTATTTCTTGCTCTGTTAACTGAAAACAAGCAGTTTGAACAAATCTGACAAGTTCAGATGGACAAGTTCACAAAGCAACACAGTTTGCACATAGTGAAAAACATTTCTCCACAGCATGCACTACTTCCTTATAACATTAAAATTTGTTAGAACAACATCAGACTGCTTAGGAAGGAAAATAAAATACGGATGGTTTAAAAGCACGGTGCAGATGGGAACAGATGATGGAGTAATACAATCCACCTATTCATTTGTAGATAAAATGCAATAAATGTAAATAAAAACGCATCATATTGCAAATATATTCCAAAAAGCTGATACAAAAATATCAACTAGTTTGACCAACCTCCCACAAGCTCTGGTGAATCTAATGTCATTTGCTCCAGCTGTAATCTACGTATAGTGCTGACTAAATGTTAGGGTTTTGCATGAAATTTCAAAATGGACTTATGAGTTCACATGTCCAACTGTTTAGTACTCTAAAATGGTTCTTAATAGCAATGTGTCTTATCTATGAACTAACTTCTAGACTTTTTGTTCAATGACAATGTTTATGTTTATTATCATGCTGTTCACATTTTTGCCCTATGAGACAAAGAGGACACCTATCAGTCAATCAATACTTGGCCACTGTAAAGTTTAAGAGGGATGTTTCCATTAAGCTGAGTGTCTTCAGCATGTTACAAGGGAATACAGGAAAGGTCACAGAACACCATAGAAGTAGAGGCCTTTGGCCACATCCCATTCTAATGACAGCTTTATTGTGAACAGTGCCTGATTGTGAATGGCACCTACTCCAGAATGCTACCTGAAGAAGGTAAGTGGCCCCAACATTGTTATTATCTGCCTACTACAAGGCCCTCAAGGGTCCCTGACATTACTTCCATTCCTGGGCATCATAGTCACACATGGTTCGAGTAACATCTGGGACAAAAATCCAGAAGAACTCACACAAACCAAAGCATGCACTGCCACAAACCTTTCAAGAAACTACAGAAATGTTATACATGGCACACTAAAAAACACAAGAAGACACAAAAAAGCACATTTCCAGCCCCACTGCACCATTGGGAAACAGTATTTTACTTACGTGAACCTCATGCCATTTCTAAATATGGTACAATGAAACACAGCATACTTCTGTCTTCTCTGCCTTACAGTAATTCACTTCACTCCTGTTTCGCTGCAATAGAAGTCCCCAGGTAGTTATACTGAAAAAATAGTAATCCAATTAACTTTTTCCTCTTTTGAGAATGTATTATCCATTTATCATGTTTACAGATTAATAGGCAGTTAGGTTATGTACTTTATCAGCTGTCTACTGCAGGCACAAATTTCATTTTTAAATAATGATAAAAAGTTTATATTACCAGCATAACAAAATTAAACACAGAGCTATTTTGTTCATTGGTCTAATTTAATTTAACAAGATCAACCCTTGGCAGATTCACTCAGGGGAACATTTGGTGTCACTTTATACCATTTGTTCCAAATGGAAGAGCCAAGAAACCAAGCCGTAAACTGAAGAGCAGACGAGAAATGAAGAGAATTTCAGAAAGGAGTACTTGCAAAGTTTTACTATCTAATTGTAAATACCTCTGATAAATTTTACTACCAATAAAAGGAAGGCAATGTTCCCTTCTTTCAATGAGCTGAATATATTTAAAATCTCAGTTAATTACACAAGTGATCTACTAAAGCTAAGCATCACTTCAACATTATTTAGAAAAGAGACCCACAATATATTTTACTATCTCAAAAATAAATGACAAAAACTGGGGAAAATATCAGATTGTCTGCAGTTCAAGCCTAATTAGTGTTTTAGCATCGTCTTCAGGGTGTCAAATCTAAATTACTGCAGGCTTTTATTATGACGATCAGAGCTGCATTAAGCATAAAGTGTGTCTTAGAATATGACAGCAATTCAATAGATCATTTTGTTTTACATCTCTTCTGATTTCGTTTTTTCTTCTTCTTTGGGGAGTCCTGATGCAATCCCAGCCTAGAGTTTTACCTTGAGAGTTTGCTGTTTTCTGTCATTGTCTTTATCATTTTGGTAATATTTTTGTACTAAAAGAAGATAAAAGTCTTTCACAAACAGGGAAACGTTTCCCCATTAAAAATATATATTTGATGCCCCAACAGAGAAAATAAGCATGCACCGTTTCATTGAATATTTCTGTAAGAAGTATGTTTACATACATTCTGTTGACTGACAGACACTAACAGTTCCTATTTATCTACAGGCTAGTTATCATTTCAGATGTTTTTATACCATACACTCAACAATAGCATGAAAGTCTTTAATTTGGGGGTTCTAATTATTCATTTTAATTGCTCTTTTTAAGATGTTACATGAGTTTTACAACAAGAAACACAGAGACATGTAAAGTATATGTATGAATGGGGTGAATTTATTAAAGAATCCAATAATACTTTTATAATGCAATAATCCAAATACTGTTTATAGATACACACCACAAATATTTCCTAATATTTGTGGGTGTGAAGAAGAAGTTATACAAGTTTAAGCCATCAAAATGGTTCTGGTATAATTTATGCTTGATATATTGTCCAGTTGAAACACCTGTGCTAAAGTTTGACTTGTTATCTCTGGTGATAAGAAATCGGTTAGAATGTCCAAGAAAAAACCAGGACTATAATAAAGTGCAAGATGGCGGAAAATCTATTTCCAAATTGAAAATTTTGAAAATTTAAGCAAATGTCTTCAGGAGACAAGCTAGATAAAGGTTAACCTCGGCTTACTCAAGGACATAAAGAATGTTTGGAGGAATCAAGATGAGGGGGTTTAAACCTAAGAACATAATACCCTTTCTGTGCATGGTGTTGATAGCATCATACTCAGGGTCTGTTTCATAATATTGAATTATGCGAAGAAGGAGCAACTCTAAATGTTTTGTTTTACATCAAATCAGCAACAACTTGGTCACAAATAGATGTTACAACTATCCAAATGCACATTAAAACTAGTTTTATATTAATAAAGTGATATTAAGCTCCTACATAACCATTGACTTAAACAATATTGAAATTTTTTTAACATATGCTAAAAAGTTGGGTCTGTGATAAGGACCGAACAACATTATTTAGACGAGGTCTGTTTTTCTCATAATAAGAATAGTCAAATATTCCAGAATTATGAAAGATTCTGGGATATTCTTTTATATAAAACAAGGCATGTTTTTCTATGCCTTGTTAAAGCATAGAAAAACACTTTGTTTCTGCACAGCTTTTTATTTTCATAAGACAGAGCTTCACCTTCAATCAATTTGAATTATGATATTGCACAGATTGCAGAACATTTCAGCGTGTTCTCTCGTATGTAGGAATAACACATTACAAAGATTATCTATAATAGCTTGAAGTGAGTGCACAGTCCATGTCACAATGAAAGTTGTGTTGTGCAATGCCAAGTGGTGACACACTGCAAGGCAAGCATTCTATGAGGTGGCAATGTAATCAATCAAAATGACAGTCAGTGCACCCCGGGACCTTAACAGGAAATGTGACAAGCACTATTTGGCCCTGGTGCCGTCTTCACAGATTGAGCCTTATTAATGGAAAAAGCAGGTGACCTGAGGCAGAACTGTTGTCTCTGTTACAGATGAGCAGATAAACACACACACACAAGGAGAAACACACAGATCAAGTGACTGACAGGATGAGACATCCTCTGATTGTTGCCATGGCAACCATTCTGTAATCTGCTTCTCAGCTCTTCCCCCAGGAGGGAAAAGAGCACAGGTATTCCCTGCTCCTGGTGATGTTTAATGCGACTACGATAAAATCGCTGTCCTTAAGGTTTAATTAAGTAGCCAAAGAATGCTGTGCTAAGTAATTGTTGAGTGAAGTACAGGGTGACCCTAGTGATAATTATACACAGTAGGCAGGCAGCGAAACCTTTTTTAATTAGATCATTACTTTCAAAAAGATACATTAAGTTTAAGTTTAAGTTATTAAACTTAAAGAGAGATTAAAGATAAAAAACAGGGGGGAAAGGAGGATGTGATGAAGATTGAAAGAATAGAAAAAAATGGCATGACGGGCATCACAAAATCGGATTAACAAAAATGAAAATAACTAATTACAATCAGGGGCTTGCTTTCTTTGATAATTTCTCTGATCAGGCATGAAGGAATTAACCTAAGCTGTGTACTCAGTTATTTAACTCTGCTGCAAGGAAACATGCAGATCATTTAAATTGTTTTGTTGTGCAAGGAATGTACAAAGATTTGAAGTCCTCATTAACTTAATTTGTTTTCAATTCCATAAATAGACAATGGATCTTGTGAAGAACTTTTGCATAATTCAAAAAAGAATCAAGTTTGGAATAACTAAAAAAAAGGGAATCAGCAAAACACCCCATGATTCTGCCACCGCATTGCTTGACAATTGGTCAAATGCTTTTTTTTTTTTTGCTTTAAAAGCCTCATTGTCACTGTGACAATGCAGCACTTTTTGTAGCAACCTGCCGTGCAACTTTTCTCTAAAAGCCATCTGTCTTGTCCATATGGGCTGCTGCAAATTTTAACAAATCAAGTCAAATTAGAAACAGTGACTTCTTTCTGAGTCCATAGTAATCTAAAACTGGCTTCATGTGGGCATAACATGAAGCCATGTCACTGGTCATTAAAAGGTTTACAGTTCGTTACAGGCTTTCATCTTGATGCTCCCTGGGTTGTTTGTGAACATGCTAACGAACTTTCTTCGTCTAAGAGTGACAGTTTTGTTC